ATGTTCCTTCAAAACTTGGCCCCAAGGGCCAAGCACCCAGCAGGGCTTATTATCCTGCAGACTCAACAGACATTATATCTGGGGCTTCTGAAAAATAAAAGGCCTTATGGTGTATTTCCTAGACAAGGCTGCCCTTTTTGTTTGTTTGAATTTACCTATCACATTACTGACACCATGGTGGTGAAGAATGAGGATTCAGCATTAATCCCTGCTTCATTTTCATTCAGCAAATATTTATTAAGTAATTATAATGTGCAAGGCACTTACTAGACTGGAATAAGAAGATAAAAAGATAAAAAAGAAATTGTCTCTGTCCTCAAGGATCTGGCATTCTTTTTTTTTTTTGGAGCTTAAATTCTAATTATACAGATAAGTAAATGCAAAGTAATTGGGGGGTTGTATTTGTAGTTGTATAATGGAGTTATTGGGGAGCCCCAATAACTGGGAGGAATGAAGGAAAACCTTGTGTAAGAGGTGGCACCTGAGCTCAGACTTAAAGAAAGCTAGGGATTCCAAGAGATGGAGGTGAGGAGGGAGAGGAGAGGAGGTGAGGCATGGAGGAAAGCCTGTGTAAAGAGGAGAAATAGAAGGTAATGTAGGAGAAGTATGAAAGAGGCCAATTTAACTGAAACCTAAAATGGGTGAGGAGGAGTCACACAAATGAGGGGAAAAGATAATTACAGGAAAGATAAATTAGATCCAGATTGTAAGGGCATTGAATGACAGACAGAGACAAACATTTCATCCTAGTAGGAAGCTGCTAATCTCTATGACTAGGGGAAGTAGTTTCTCGAGTGATATAGTCATTTCTGTGCTTCAGTAATATCAATTTGGCAGCAATATGGACGAAGGGTTGAACAGGAGAGAGATGATGCAGAGACCGATTGAGAGACTATAGAAATAGTCCAGACAAGAGTTCCTAAACTAGTGTGGTGGGTAAGTAAGTGAGGAGGAAGACATACCTGAAATACTGTGGAGACTAACTTGAAAAAGTTGTCAACTGATGGGATGTGAAGGGTTAGAGAGAACAGTGGAGGCTTTAAACAGAAATAAGAAAGTTTGGAGAAAGGGTAGGTTTATAGGAGAAAGCTGATGAGTTTGGTTTTGGAGATGAGGTCTGGGCATGTAAATCTGAGAGTCATAGACATAAAGAAACCATAGTCATAATTGAAACCATGTGAACTGATGAGTTCACTAAATGAAAGACTATAGAGAAGAGAAGAGGGTCTGAGAGTGAGTTCTGGGCTATACTTTTGATAGGGAACAGAACATGGAATCATCATTTAGCTGTTTAAGTGATTTTCCAAATGAGGAAACTGAGGCAAACAGAGGTTAAGTGACTTGCCTAGGGTCATACAACTGAGGCTGGATTTGAACTTAGGTCTTCCTGACACCTAGTGCTCTATTTACTGTGCCACCTCACTGCCTATGTGTGTGTATACACATATATAGTATTACAGTCATACATTTTATATAAACTTTATGTATTAACCAAGAAAGCCATCCCCTCAACCTCCTTCAGAGAGTGGCTATTCATATCTGTCATTCAAATCAGCTGCATTTTTTCTGGAAACAGGGCTATAGCCATCCTCTTCCATGTGGTAGAGATTGACCACATTTCCTGAGAAGGCATCTTGACAGGTGGTCTAGTAGATGGCTCTCTGGGCCAGGTCATAAGCATCTTCTACTTCTAGGTAAAATGAATAGCCCTGGTTCATAACCCCAAAGACATAGACAGAACCAACCACAGAGAAAGTAACTCCAGAAATATAGTTCCCCTTACTATCCATATAGTACAAGCCAAGCCTTCATTCATCCTAACCACAAATCATGGTGCCCATGGACAGCCCATGCCTTTAATCTGATGTTGTTTTTTGTCCTTTGTTTTTTTGTAGAGGACCAATGACATCACTGACATCATGGGTGATGTCCTGACTCGTGCATAAATTGGATTTAAGTGGAGAGTTGCACGAAGTCATCAGCTTCACTTTCTCTTCCTGAGTTATTAGAAGTCCAGTGGCAAGATAAAAGTCAGGAAGACTGGTAATGGCCCAGGATGCAGTGGATAATCTTAGCATCCTCGATACCTGGCCAAGCTCTAAGTGTTCCACAACGCTTGCTCTAGCCACCTTAGTGGCCATTGGAACAAATTGTTCTCATCTGTCCATTTTGCTGGGAGGGAAGTCTTCACACACTTGGGGTAGACATGCTCCCTAACTCACCAATACCATTGTCAGTTTCCCTCAGCCTGGTTTAACCTGACCTGCCAAGATGGGTTTTACTGGGGTAGGGCCAATGTGTATGTTATAGCTTCCTGGAGTCACAGGTGAGAGCTAAGTGCCAGGTAGACACCAAAAGTGGATGAGCAGCCCTGAAAAGGGCTCAGCAAGCCCTCACACCAGGCATGTTAGTCCTCCCTGAACACCATAGTAGCCAATACAGATTTCCTCTGAAATTACTTCTCTTTATCCTGACACACCATTGTTGGCAGAGGACTTTTGAGGCAGAAGCCACAGAAATGTGTTCTTTCTTTTGAAGCTCAAGATGTCACAATGTCAAGCCAGCAGATGTTCTCAGAAATGGAAGTCAGTTGTTCCCCTTGCTTTGGACTACCAGCAAGTAAAAATTGATCTTGAGGAAGGGAATTATGATTTCTATATTAATTGATCACCTTCTTCACTGTCTGGAAAACAACATAAGTAGAGCCCATTTCTGAGGCTTCCACACTCAAATCTAAAAATCCTAACCCTGTTCACCAGCAGTGGCCTCTCTAACATGCTGGCCAGCACCATGTATACTAAGGACAATGTGTGTGTGTGTGTGTGTGTGTGTGTGTGTTTGTGTGTGTGTTGTTAAAGAGTCTCCTGAATCTGTCTTTTTGAGTTGACATATTTTCCAGAAACACTACACTCAGAGTATGCAAGAGGCCCTGAATGTGTGGAAGATGAAACACACCCCTGTCCCCTAGCTGACATAATTTATTTGCATCCCAAGCTGAACGAGAACTCTCTGTGTGTCCTCGGGAGTCAAGATAGGCATAAGTTAGTCTGTACCAGACTGAGAAACTGTGCAACTGGCAGCTTTGTAGATAAGCAGACCTTCATGTCCTCGAAGTCTTGCAGTTACCAAAAGAAAAGAATTTTGCTTTTGCCATCTTATTCATGAGTTCTCCTACCCTTTGGAAGGAAATTGTCCTTTCCTCCTCCCATGCCACTCCCATTTAGGAGGGGATCGATGTCTCTCCTTTATTGTAATCGCATACTTGTAATAAACTCAGTTTTCCATGTATGTTTTGTAATGTTATGATTTCCTGTTGACAATGTATATACAAAGACACACACACAGACATACACACACAAGAGGCAGCTAGATGGCATAGTGGATAAAGCCCTGTGTTGAGGTTTAGAGTTGGGAGAGTTGGTTCAGGTGTGAAAGAATTCACTTAGACCTTCTCTGTAACCACTGGGAGTTTTATTGATGCAAAAGCAGCTGGCTAGCCCTGGAAAGAGGACCAGCAACTTACAGAGGGATAGGGGTCTGTTTTATCTTACGTGATAAGGGGGCGTTTATCATGACACATGGATGACAGGATAGGGGACCTAGGATTTAAGGAAAACAGGGAGTTTTCTGACTCGTGATGAGGAAGACAAGGCATTTTAATGATCCAGGACAGGGGGGAAGTTTTATGGTATCTCAAGATAAGGGAAAGAAACTCTAGGATGCCCTCAAGTTCAGGAGGGGCCTCACAAGGTATTGCAAAAGCAACCCTTAATTAAAATTTGTTTCTTTAAAAAAGCTTTTGGTTTTTAGGGCACTGTTTGCTTTTACATCACCTGGACCTGGAGTCAAGAAGATCTGAGTTCAATTTCAGCCTCAGATACTTACTATCTGTGAGGCAAGTCACTTAACTTCCATTTGCCTTAATCCACTGGAGAAGAAAATGGCAAACCACTCTGGTATCTTTGCTAAGAAATCCCCATGGACAGTATGGTCTACCTGTCACAAGAGTCAGGCATGACTGAACAACATAAATATATATATAATACTATGTCTGCCTTTTATATACCATATATAATATATAATTATATTAGCTATAGTAAGGATAGGCATAATGTGTTCATAGAGAAGCAGTCATGTCAAAATGTTGATTTTTTTTTATGTAAAGTGAAAGATTAATACCACAGATGAACCTTTCAAAATATTCTTGCAAAAGCACATACTTTTATGAAAATGCATCCAGCATAAGGCATAGGAAACAGAGATCCCTAGGGCCTATTAAGACTTCATTCTGGACTTGGGATGAGGAAGGCATATGCTACTTGTTCATCCCAAACCAGTTGTGACGGTTCAGTGAACTTTGAATTCTAGAGGACCTGAGTTCGTATCCCAGCTCTGCTATTAACTTCCCCTCACCTCTCAGGGTCTCAGTTTCTTCATTTGGAAATAACGGTCCTTTTCACCTCTAACGTTTGTGACCTGCCCGTTCTTTTCTAACCCTCCCCATCCCTCAATCCCTCCCTGCCTCGTCCTATTCTCCAGTCCCACCCCCAAAATTGAGTAAACTCCCAAGGCCAAAAACTATTTATCTTGTGCTTCATCAAAGCATTGATTCCTGGAAGCTCAGACGCCCAACTCAACCTCCCTGAGGGAATTGCAAAGCAATGGTTTCCCCCAGCTCCAGAGCACAAATCATCAGCCTCATCCCCAAATCCACGTGCGAACACAGGGAGGGCTAAGGATGATTCATGCACAAGGCCCGATCACCGAGTTGGTCTTCCAAGCTCCTAGAGAGACCGGAAGTCCTCCCTCCGCAGGGAGGCGAAAGAGCTGACGGGGCGGGGCTCTGTAGACTCGGCTCCCGCTCGGCTGCGTTCGGCCGGTCTCGGCTCCCGCTCGGCTGCGTTCGGCTTGTCTCGGCTCCCGCTCGGCTGCGATAGCCCGTCGGGCGGGGGCGGGTCGGGTGGGCAGCTTTGGTCTCACTCTCGCTCTCAGGGCCTCAGCTCGGGCTTGGGGCGATGGCGTCTCGCGCGGGGCCCCGGGCGGCGGGCACTGACGGCAGCGACTATCGGCACCGGGAGCGCGTGGCCTCGCACTACCAGATGAGGTAGGAGTGGGGCGCCCTGTCGCCGGCCGCCCCGGCCCCTGGCCGGGCCTCACCCTTGCGGGGTCCGGGCGTGGGGGAGGTGGGAGTGCAGCGGGATGGGGGGGAGGGGCGACCCTGCTGCATCCGGGAACCTGCATCGAGCCCCTCCCCCTCCTGGGGGTTAGGGGTGGGAGCTTTCCTCGGGTGCGGTCTCGCATGCGCCTAGCTATTGACGCTCAGAAAAGTCCCTTCCATTCATCCTGTGCCCAAATTTCATGCTGGGCCACTCTTCCCCTATCCCTTCAAACGCTTGACCACTCACCAGTGCTCACCTTTTCCTGAGTGTTTGCTTTTTTCAATAGAAAAAAAAATTCGCCCCAATGTTCATTTTTTTCCATTTTCAAGCATTTATTTTTTGTCTCACTTCTCCCTTCACCCCCTTCCCTTTCCCCCCCAAAAGAATACAAAACCCGTTTCATATACAAATATGATCCATATTTGGGAGTTTCTCCACCTTTGGGCATGGGAGGAGGGGTGGGACCAGGAGGGATTGGCAGAAGTTTAGGAGCCATTCAAGCACTTGACCTCTGACCTATACTTGGGTTCTCCCTATCCCCCATCCATTTGACCCAGACTGCCCCTCTATTCATCCAACCAAAACCCGTTAAATTCCCCTTCTGTGAGATGCAGACGTCATCCAGGTTTATTGTCTAATAGGGAAGGTAAGATGTGAGCTAGATTTGGTGTTTTCTAAAGGCCCTCCCAGCTATTTAAATCCTATGATCCTATAATTAATCATCAACCCGAATTTATTAAACACTTACTATTTACCAGGCTTTGGGTTAGTCACTGGGGATAAAAATACACAGAATGAAACAAATCTGCCCTCAAGGAGTTTTACATTTTGTAAGGAAAGTAGGAATTCCCAAGTAGATTGTTATCACCTAATTTTTATTCTCAATCTCATTAAACCATACCTCTTTGAAGTTCTGTCCAGTGGCCCATCCAAACCTGCCCTTTTTCATAGGTCATGTGTGGGTGAAATGTCTCCCTATGCTGCCCAAATTGCTTCTGAAATGGCCCCTAAGCTTTTCACTATAGACCTCCCAATCTTGTTTATGCATCTTTTCCCCGGCTTCATGCCTGGGGGGCATGAAGCTGAAATAGAAACAGGTGTGCATGTATTAGAAAAAGAGCCTTCCCCAAATTGGTACCCTGTATCCCCTACACACTAAATGCATTCTTCTTTTGCTCTGTTCCACAGTGTTACCTTCAAGACTGAGATTAAGAGACTGATCTACATTCACATAGGTCTTTGGCTCCTGTTAGCAGCCCAGATGTGTGTGGGGCATCTGAAGCTCCTGTCCTATGATCAAGTTGCCATGCCCTACCAGTGGGAATACCCCTACCTGCTGAGCATCGTGCCCTCTGGCTTTGGCCTGCTCTCATTCCCCCGTAACAACATAAGCTACTTGGTGCTCTCCATGATCAGCACGGGGCTGTTCTCCATTGCCCCTCTCATCTATGGCACCATGGAGATGTTTCCTGCCGCTCAGCAGCTGTACCTCCACGGCAAGGCATACCGTGTCATCTTTGGCATCTCTGCCGTCGCCATCATGTACCTGGTGCTGGTAGTGGCTGTCCAGGTGCATGCCTGGCAGCTCTACTATAGTAAGAAACTACTGGACTCTTGGTTCACCAGTACGCAGGAGAAGAAGCGTAAATGAAGCCTGACATATGGACTATGGGCTGTAATTGGGGGCAGGCATGGGGTTGGGGGAGGGGGGAGGGGAGGCTGGGCCTCAAATTGAGAAGAATGGGAGTGTAGAGGGACTAGTCCTGAAATATTCTCCAAGCCTCTGGCCTAATAAGGTTGGCAGCAGGTTCACACTAAGCTGTGATTCCAGGAAACACTTCCTACCTCCCTCACCTGCGTGTTTGAAAGGCTGTGTTGATGTAGGACTCTTTGAGTTAGATGAGGCTCCCTTTGGCCACATTGGATGGTCTAATTCAGTGGCTTGAGCTAATGAGGTTTTGGCCCTTTGGGATTCTCTTTAGGGATGGATTATCCTCTTCATCTCCTACTTACTATCTCTTTTACTCCTTCCTTCCATACCTTCAACTCCTTTCCTGCAGCCAAGAAGATAAGCAGAGACCAAGCAGAAGCTAGTAATGAATCAGGTTCCATCCTTTCTAGGAAGGAAATATCTATAGGTTGTGGTCTCTGATGCCAAGAGTCATGACTCAAAAAGGAACTCAATAAAATTCAACTGTGCCCTGACCATCCGTGCTTTGTATTTGATGAGATTTGGAGTAACGTAAAGTACACATTCCCAAAATTGTTCTTATCAATGGGTTAAACAAAGAATAGCAACCTGTACATAATAGAGATCTGCAGTTCTGTGTACAGTCTTCTTTTCAGCCCTACCATGTATGTGGAAATGTCTGTTTTATTTGGAGCTTAAGTTCTGAATAAAAAGGAAAAAAAAAAGAAATGAGTGAGATATTGAAAAATAAATAAGTGTGGTATATAGTAGGAAACTGGAAATGGGGAAACCTGGTTCCTGGTCTCCATGCTGTTGGCTTCATTGTGGGGTCACTGCGGGAAAGTGTTTTTATCTGTTGACGTTTGAAATATAGGAGATTTCTGTTCAGAATATTGGAGAAATAATAGCTCATTTATTTTAGTGCTAAAGGGTTTGCAGAGTGCTTTTCATCCACTGTCTCATTTGAGGTTTGAACTTTTGTTCTTAATTGAATATTTTGGTTAATCAGTCAACATTTGGGGGGGCATCTACTTTGTGCTCAGCACTGTGCTATGCTGTTCGATAGGACACAGTATAACTGGCATAGTCTTCTCTCTTGATGAGTTTACAGGCTAGGGAAGCAGATTAACAAGCAAAACTATTGGTTGACAACATTCATTGAGCTGTCTAGACTGTTCTGGCTAGAAGAACTAGAGAAAGGTGATGTTGGCCTGGGGTAGCCTCATCAGGAAGTCTCAGCCAGAGGAGCTTAGCGTGGCCTTGAAGAAGGGTGGCTATCCATATGAAAGAAAGGGGAGGGAATTCGAGGGGGTTACTTATAAATAGAAGGGTATGTGTAATCATAAATAGATTACCAAATTTTCTAAAATGCAGTTAAAATACATAATGCTAGCTATGACATGACAAGCATAATTTTTTTTTTTGCATTTAATAAGTTCTTCAGGATCTTTTACCTTAAATCCTTATGAACATCAGTCGTTGTACAGTAACTTGGGGAAAAGAAACTAGTTATTTGAGCATTCTAGTGGTTTGGGAATGAATGGGAAATAAATTGTCATCTACCTCAAAGGCATTACTTTTAAATGCTATATTATTGCTGGAATTTTTTCTACCTCAATTATTTCCTAATTACCTTCCCTGAATAGAAGCCTCCTTTATAACAGGTGTTACTCCTGTCAATGCTGAAGCATCATTGAATATATTCAGTAGCAAAATGGCAGAGAAACTCAGAGTACTTGTGTCATGCTAACCAAGGAAGCCAGTTAATTCATGCTTTCAGCAAGAGGATCAAGGCCCATCCCATGGAGATGACTAGGAGATAAGACTGGGTCTCCCTGTGGAGATTTATTTCCTCAAGTTTCCTAGGACTTGGTTGTCTTCCAGAAGAACAAAGGTAAAGGCACCAGTTAGATGAACTGGAACAGTGCCAAACATATGCACTAGGCGAACTTACCCCTTCACATTCAGCGTGGCTGCTCTGTTGGCTCTCATTAAAGTAGCTGATGCTCATAGAGTTGGTACTTTGGGACTTGGTGTAACTGAAGAGGCCCAGGGCCCTCCTAATTATTTCTGGGCCAGAGCATGAAAGGGTCAGGAACCTGGGTTTGATGCATAAGTAAAGGTTAGCATGTGAAATCTGGGCCATTTGATTATGCTTTAAGCTAGCACGGAGAGGCACGTCTTTGAAAGGTTGACCAGCTAACTGCCATGATTCTGTGGAGAAAGCCTTTCTCCCCAGTAGAAAACATCCTTTATTTACCCTCATTAGCATTCTAACTGTAAAGAGCTGGTTGATGCACTGAATAGAGCACTGGGCTTAGAGCCAGGAAGACTTGAGTTCAAATCCAGCCTCAGGCGCTTACTAGCTGTGTGACCCTGGGCAAGTCACTTAACCCCTGTTTGTCTCAATTTTCTCAAGTGTAAAATGAGATAATAGCAGCACCTACCTGCCAAGGTTGTGGTGAGAATCCAATGAGATATTTATAAAGTGCTTAGCACATTTTATTTTACTTTATTTTATTTTATTTCAGTATAAAATAATCGGTGACAAATAAATGCTTATTCCCTTCTCTCCCTCCTCCCCCTTACTGACACCTGCCAACAATCCCTGCCATGTCATAAGTCATTGTTTCCTGTGCTCCACCCAGCTATCCACCCTCTTTCTGTTTGCACTCCTTCCATTTATGGCACGCAGTCAAATCTAGTTGCTGCTTATTGCTGCGGAGACCTCCCAACACCATTCTTTCCTGTCTGTTTTCCCAATGTCAGGAGGTAGGGGGATACTCCTGGTTCAGAACAGTCTGCTTTCATTCATTCGTTTAGCCATCGTTCATTGAGCACTTCTTATGTGCCAGGCACCGTCTAGTAGCGATGGTCTCAGGGGTTGAGGTGTGAAGCCACAAGATGAGATGCTAGACTTTAGAACCCAGAAGGAGATTAGAGATCACCAAGTCCAAGCCTCCTGATTTTAATGATGAAGGTGAGTCTCAGAGCAGGAAAATTACTTATATGCCCAAGGGCATTTGCTAGACAATAGCCGAAATAAGATTCCAACCCAAGTGTCCTGAGTCCAAATCAAATGTTCTGGCACTGTCCTGTCCCCCAGGTTTCTTTGTTTTCTCAACTGCCTTGGCAGGCACCCCGAACTCACAAAATAACTGAGCTCCATAGATGGCCTCCAGACTTCTATGGATAGATGTTTATGTGAAAGAGGGGCTGAGGTTGTTTGAATGGGGCATGAGAAGGAGGAAGCTGTGGGATGGTAGGGTCCCCACAAATGATGGAACCTAGTCAATTCCCCTCCCCCACCTTTTTTTTTTTTCCGGCACAGGAAACCGCAGGAAACCAGGTCAGTATTGTACATGGGCCCCTCCCCTATCTCCAGGGCTCGGGGGCAAATTTTGGAACTACCTGACTCAGCTGCCTGGAGAAATGGGGCCTTGAGGTTCCTGGGTCCCTCTGACTTAAACCCTTTTCTCCAGAGTACCCAGACCAAAAAGAGATCCATAGGTTAACAGCAGGAAGAAAAATAGTTCTTGGTGAGCTGGACTGAGAGATGAGAGAGCAAGTAGCTCCCCAGAATTAGGGTGCAAAGAAATCTTAGTGCTGTGCACGTGCCTCGAGATCTCTCTCTTCAGAGATTTAGGGCTGCGAGACAGACGGGTGAAAAGATGAGAGCTCCAGGGTGGTGAAGGTGGGGGGCGGGAGGGGTCAGGGAGCCAGCCTGGGCAGACACTCCTCCCTATCTGTGGGTGCAGCCCAACCTTTCCCTTAGAAGCATACCCTTTCCTCCACCTACCTGCTCCACCCTAGAGGGCAAGTCAGCCTCTGGAGGCCTTTGACTCTTCAGGAACTGGGGGCAGAACTCCTTTCCAGGACAAGCCCTAGCTCGGAAGAAAAGGAATGTGGTTTGGCCGGCTGGTGAGCAGCTGAGGAGGAGCTTCAGGATGGGCACAGGGCAGGCTCGGGCTGGAGCGTACGTACCGAAGAGGGACACCTGGCAGCCCATCTCCAGCAATGCAGCCATGTTCCCAGTGCGCTAATCTCTCCGAGGCTCATGGGGACCCTGCTGCCAGGGGCTCCCCTCGTTGGCTCTTTGCTTCTTCTCATCAGCCTCTCTGGCTATTCTGGCAGCAGGTCCTCTCACGTGAACTGGTGGGGGCCCCGTTGTTTTCAGCCTTCCCACATGGTAAGGACATGAAGCATTGGGGATAACCCTTGCCCCCGCTCCCCACTCCCCACCTGCCCTCCGTCTGTCAAAGATCCTGCCCCATGTCATTCCCTGCTTCCCCCTTGTCCTCCTCTCCTGCCCCCAGTGTCTCTGCTCAGACAGCAGGCTGTTGGGACAGGACTTCAAGGTGCCGGTGGTGGGTTTGTGGCTCATATAGGGTGGAACCAGCAGATGACCCTGAGTGGGTGGGCTGGTAGCCCGATAACTCTTCCTGTGGGCAGTTTGGGACAAAGGTCCTGGGCTAGTTTTTCCCTGACAGTCTTTATATTAATGCTGCTTTTCCTTCCTTTCCAACCTGGCCCCTGGGCCCCCAACCTGGCAGGATGACAATTTTATCGGTGAGTCTGTTTTCTCTTTAAAAAAACAAACAAAAACTTGTTTCAAGCCCTTGGAGAGTCTTCAGTGCTTCCTACTCTTGAGCTCTAACTAGTTTCTCCTGTCAGTACAGAGATGTAAATGTACCTGAGACCCCAATGTTTGTCCCCCTTCCTAATCCCTTGCAGAAAGTCCTGCTCTTGACCTTCACCAGAATGGGGTCTTGTCCAAAAGGTCACAGTGCTCTCTGGTGTGGCGATGCCCACTCTGCTTCCACTTCCAACTTGCTTTGAACATGCCAGGTATGGAGACCAGACCTCTAGGACAGAAGAATCACCCTTTGGGACCAGTCAGTTCCCACTGGAAAAGTTGGAGTAGGACTAAAGCTATCAGATAATCCATTCACCTTTAGTGAGTGGGTACTTGGGGAAGGGAAGAGAGACATCTTGAGAAATAACAGTAGAAAGTGGGGATTAAGATCTGGGATCTTAGTTCAAACCTAGGGTTCGTTGAATCCCGGTTTGTCTCTTATAGGAATCCAAAGGGACACAAGATCATGAAATCATAGGGTTTTAGAGTTGGAAAGAACCTCAGAAATCATCTGATTCAATGCCTTCATTTTATAGATGAGGAAGGTTGAAGCCCGAAGAGGGAAAATTCTTAGTTCAAGGTAACATGGCTAATTAGTGGCTAAGCCAGGACTTAGAGTACCTAAATCTCCTCTTTCCCAGTTTATTACTCTTTCTACTGTGTTACCTGTGGAAGAACATATTCACCTTCCCTTTGTGAACTCTAAACAGATTAAGGATGTGCCAGAATGATCCTATGTATCTTTCAAATCTTATTTGAAATTTCTCATATTTTCAGTGTTTAGTGATTCTTTGAGTCATGAATTTGCCTCTCTTGAGTTCTCTGTGTAATGCAGGACCTCCTTTTGTTTAGCCTCAGTTTACCTCCTGCAATCTTTAAGTAGTACTCCTCAACTTAGTTTTAGTACACTGGGATTTGGGGACCTTTCTATACCCTTTGAGGTTTTATAGACTATGTTAGTCAGGTTTAGGATCAAAAGGTACAGAGACAGAACCTAGGTCAGTCAGCAGCAAAAGACAGTCCCTGCTCTCAAGAAGCTCAGTCTAAAACATGCAAACAATTATGTAGCAACAAGATATATACAGGATAAGTTGAGATAATCAACAGGGGAAAGGCACCAGCATTAAGGGGAATCAAGAAAGGCTTTTTGAAGAAGGTGGAATTTTAGCAGGATCTTGAAGGAAGTCAGAGGGAGAGATGAAGAAGGAGAGAATTCCAGGCTTGGGAGTGGGGAGACAGCCAACAGTGGTCACCTTGATTTAGTGGGCCAAGGTTTTGAGGGTTCATATGCCCTGACCATTGGGCTGCCATCTCATTCCATCCACCATCTTGATGCTCCAGTTATTTAGGATGAAAAAAACATACTTAATCTCAGGCACCCAGCCCTGCAGAGAACATTTCAGTCTGGCTTTGAATGGCCCAGGGAGGTTAGAGTCCGTGGGATGTTTTCTCAAGGTAGGTCTAGAGAACTGGAACATTTTATTGATGTATCTCTAGTGAGTGGGCCAGGAAAGAGTAACCATGTGGGTTAGTGGAACCCTTTGAAGTTGGGAGTGGTACTTATCAAACTTATCTGTCATTCTGGCTATTTCTACCCAAACGTCCCTCCACCCTGCCCATTCTGGGGCAAGAGGCCCTGTCTAACCAGACTACAGCACTAACTTGGATTGGTCTGAAGTGTAAAATGTTAAGATGTTCTACAAAGAGGTTCAATCTTTTTAGTCTGCCTACCTATAGTAGCCCCATCTTTCTCCTAGATTCTTAAAGTTCATAACTTTTATTGAGCACTTTTACATTGACAACATGCTCTATATACAGTATCTCATTTGCTCCTCACTACAACCTGTGAGGTAGGGGCTATTGTTAACTCCATTTTACTGATGAGGAAACGGAGGCTGAGAGAGAGGAGGATAAACGACTTGCCCAAGGTTATATCTGTGAGATGGGATTCCAAACCTGGCTGCAAGGCTAGGATTACATCCATTTCACCATGCTGTGTCTCCAGATGACCTTCTAATAGTGTGCTTCATCAGGAAAAGGAGGCAGAGTCAGGCTAGAGGCTAGAATTTCACATTTGGAGTCAGGGAGACCTGAGTCAAATCCTGCCTCAGATATTTATTAGCGGTGTTACCTTGGGCAAATCAAAAATCTCTCCTGGCCTGTTTCTTCATCTGTAAAATGAGGGGCTTGGACCACCTAGCTTCTGAAGTTCCTTCTAGCTCTAATTCTATGTCCTATGACCTCTGAAGGGACTATATATCCCCAGCGATGTTTTTCTCCTACTCTATCCTCAGGTCTTCGAAAGCCCTGGCTTCACTTTCTAATGTGGAAATCTCACAAGTCCCCTAAGTTCCAGCTTTGCATGAGGCTCAGGATGCCAACTGCTGCCCAGGTATCCTGCCTCTTCCTCCATTCTCCCACCTCCTCTTCATTCCGAAGCTTGTCTGTGGCCTGATCTCTCTAACATTTTTATTACCAAAGCATTCTCACATCTATCACCTCATCCCATCCTCTCATTGTCTAGGTGGAAGATGTGGGAAGGGAAGGATGAGACGGATTATTTTTCTCATTTTACAGATAGGAAAACTGAGACTTTGAGTGACTTAACCCATGGCCACACAGGTGGTCAGGGGTCAGATCTCTGACCTCTAGTCCAATGCTATTGTGCTTTATGGCTCATAATGATCATCAATAAGTATGGATTTAAAGTGCCTACGGGGATAAAACGTGATGGGGATAGGAAGGAAGACAAAAACACAGTCTGTGTCCTGGAGTAGTTCACCTTCTACTGGTGGAGACAACAGTGCACATACAAAATTGTCTTGTCCTCTGTCCTCAGTGGAAGTGGCTATGTGACTGCTGCCTGGCTAGACAGGGCCACCATGTTGCTGTCTCCTTCCCAGCTGTGCCCAGCTCGGGGCTGCGCTTAAAAAGGACCCAGTTCAGCCCTCCAGAGATAGCCGATGGGATTTGGCAGCTGCCTGGTTCCCAAAGGCGTAGAGGTGAGCATAAGGATATGCTTGCTGGAGGAGTGGGCTGGGCTGGGGGTAGACCCCCAGAGGGTGCCCATGCGGCAGTGATCAAGCCTGTTCTGAACTGAAGGTCAGGGCCTCTCCATCCGCTTCCTCCAGGGCCTGAGTTCTCCTTCGAGCTGCTCCTGGGAGAGAGGGCTGTTCAGGTCACAGCTCCACTGGGCCCTGACATCAGTGTGAGGCTGTGCCACCAGTGGGTTCTGGAGTGTGAGGAATTGAGCAGTCCCTTCCACAAACAGGTAAAAAAAATGCAATCCCTAGGGCAGACAGACCATAGAGCCTGAGGGTCCCTGGAGGGCATTCTCAGGGAAGGGAGAAGAAAATAACTCTACAAAGAGCTCACTTTCACAACAACCAAATAATGTGTGCAGTGCAAGTATAGATTATGTCAATACTACAGATGAGGGAACTGAGATTTAGTTGAGGTGATTTGAATTATATTGGCTGCCCATTGTGGAGGGGCTGGAATTTGAGCCCAGGTCTTCTGACTCCAAGGCCAAGCGCTCTTTCTACTATGCCACTGCCTTCCAGGAGAGAATAATGTCTTTACAGTAGGGCCCCATAGGGCCTTAAGCAAAATTGCATCTTTCTTCATTTTCTCACATCTGTTCTCCAAGGATTATTTATTATTTATTACGTCTACTCTCTCCTGCCCTACCCCAGACAGTCTCTCTCTGTGCCCTTATGTCGTCAAAGTCATTGCATAAAACATGATAGGCTGAACTTGCTGAGAACATGTATAGATGCATTTCAAGGACAAACTTCTCTCACATGAGCCCCCTCCTGACAGAGAAAGGATGAACTCAGAAGGAAACAGACATTTCTGGACATTGCCCTCGTAGGGATTTGTTTTGCTTGACTATGCTAATTTGTTACAAGGTGGGTTTTTTCTTTCTTTCTGTTTTTAATAGAAATGGTAAGGGGAAGAGGGGGCAGGAGGTAGCATTGGTGATGTTGAAGAAAAGAATATTGAAACTTTTTTTAATGCACAGAAGAGAATGAATGGAAGGAAATAGACAAACAGGATAATTTTGAAAGTGATGTCTTTTTTTTAAGAACAAGTAGTGTGGAATAGATATTTATGGTTTCATATACTTTTTTGTATTCTACTTTGTAATGGAAATGATCTTGGGGTGTTTTTTGTGTTAAGTTCAGAATTTTAAAAGCATGGGGAAAAAGAGGTAGTTATCAGCTCAAATGAATCTCAGCTCAAAAAAAAGGTTGTGCTTTTTGTGAAGTTTCTAATTTTTTGTGAAGTTTCCAATTTTTTAAAAAACATGTAAACACAGATCTCCATATCATCTGTAACTTATCCTATATACACATATATACATATAGGCACATATACATACATACATGTGTGTATACATACATATATACATAAGTGGGATTTTGAGCTTAGAATGACTTTAGAGGTCATACAGTCTATCCATCTCACTTTACCTTGACCCCAGGTTGGTCACACAGGTGCCCTTGCAAAAGAGAGAAGTCCCCTGATTCCAAATCCAGTGGGCAACTTTTCAATAACTCATATCTCTTTCCCTCCTGAGTCTCACTGTTCTAACTAGTGCTGCTATAAAAATCTTTGTACATAGAGACCTTTCTTTACTTTAATTTTTTTTCTTGATATTTAGTTTAGATTTAGTCTAGATATTTAGATGTATCACCAAGTCAAAGGCCATGGCCAATTTTGTCACACTGGGCCACTTTGCTTTCTAGAAATATTACTCTGCTTAGTGCTGGAAAGTATACCTGCACCATTGTTTTTCTCTTTTTTTATTTAATTGTTTATTGGATGGATAGTTTAATGAATGTGTGAAGATACTTTGTAGTTTTCATTCTCATCTCTTTTATTATTTTAATTATTAGGGGCAGCTGGGTGGTGCAGTGGATAGAGCACTGGCCTTGGAGTCAGGAGGACCTGAATTCAAATTTGGCCTCAGACATGACACTTACTATCGGCGTGACGCTGGACAAGGCACTTAACCCCATTGCCTAGCGAAAACAAACAAACAAACAAAAAAAGCATTTTGGGATACCTTTTGTCTACAACCTTTCTTGTAATTCTCTATCTCTCTCTGTGCGTGTGTATGTGTGTATGTACATATGTATATATGGGTATATACACACACACACATACATGCATATATACCATGGATGTAGTGACCATATCTGACAATGTATACACTCTTCTGCCCCTTGTGCTCTGTCATGAGAAGGGGGGAAAGTTTCATTACTTGTTCTCCAGATCCATACTGGTTTTTATGAATTGTCTCTCCATTCTTTTTAACTACTAATAACTTGATATGTATTTACTTTTTACCTCCTTTTTGTGGGGGAGTTGGAGATTTGTGATTTCATTAGTGTGGGGGAACTCTTGACATGGAAAGACCTCCCACTGATGCAGAGCTCCATCTCATCTGTAATTTATCTAGAGACTTGCCTGGGGCACTGTGAGGTTAAGTGATTTCCTAATGGTCACTAGCATACCAGCATGATACTGCGGCAGGATCTGAACCCAGGTCTTCCTTGCTCTAGGCTGGCCCCATCCACTATGCTTTGCTGCCCTTGTGTTAGTTCTCTGTATGTTCTAGAAGTCAAGATGTGCCCAACATATTGTTCATAAATGTTTTTGTTTCTTGTTTTTTTCTTTTTGTCTTAGGTTTTTTGCTCCCATTGTTGAAATATTTAAAATTTTTTCTCTATAATCGAACCCATCAATGCTGACCCCAATAATGTCTTTGATTGCTTTAAGAAGTTTATGGAGGGCATATTTTTAAGGGGGGGGGGATATGACTCTGTGACTTTGGCCAAGCAAGGGTTAACAACATGACACTGTATCTTTGAAAGGTTGCTGAGTCTGTCACTATGATAAGCAATGGGGCTGAAATTCCAGCCAGGGTTGTGAGGTAAAAAAGGTTAGAGAAATTCTTTATAATATCCCCTTATAGTTGCAGATGCTTTAGGTTTTTCAAAACCCTCTCATGCATATTATTAACCTTTACTCTTCACAGGGTCCTAGTGAAATTAGTAGGACAGGGATTGTTTAGTTTGTTTAGGTGTTTTTAATTAAATTTTATTTTTTTCAATTATCACGCACTTACTTTTTCTCCTTCCTATTTCCCTTCCCCACCAAAAAAAAAAACCAAAAAAAAACCCAACACTTCCTAATAAATAAGCATGGTCAAGCAAAACAAATTCTTTCGTTGGCCGAGTCCAGAAACATGTGTCTCATTCTGCTTACTGAGTCCATCACTTCTCTGTCAGGAAATGGGAATCATTTTCATTATCAGTAGAATGGAAATTATGAATCCCATTTTATAGATAAACATAATTGAGGCCCAAAGAGGTTAATCATGGTCACTTAGTGAGTTGGTGTCATTAGTTGGTACTAGAACTCAGGCCTTCTGACTTCCTTGTCCAGTCTTCTTCCAAAGTGCTATATGTCTGGCACTCCATCTCCCCCATGTTCTCCAGGTGAATTCTTCCAGGATTTGGCCTATGCCCCAGTGCTCTAATGAGCTTCATCCCCCAGTAGCTCGAAGTTGTCACCACTGAGACTAGAAGACCTCATAGGATCACAGACATATCATATATGTCATAGCCTAGTAATCCTGGCATCCAACCTCCTGGTTCTGGCTGTTTCCATCAGGGAAGTCAGTCTGTCCCCCTGTGAGCAGCCCTGGGGGTGGGCCTCCAGCCTAAGTCTCTTTGTACATACCTCTAATTCTTCTCCCACAACATAATTGTCAGGCACCCAGACAGCAAAATGTAGAAAATGGGACTGAGGAAACAAACTGTGAAACACAAAACACAGACTCTCCCCAAGGAGAGCAGCTTTTTTCAGAGGAAAAAGAGAGTATTTTGCAGTATGACAGATTAGATATATTTGACCAACTGTCACAGGGAACTTTCAAGCCTAGGTCCTACTTTCCTCCACCTCAATCCTTAAGCCTCCAGATCCTCTTCATGGCCTGGAGATACCCATCCAGAATGCACCTGCCCTTCCTTAGGCATCTTCCTTTCCTCCCCTTTCTGCTTCTCCTACAGGAGACTGTGTCTGGAGGTCACACGGTCCAGCTGCCCTATGAGTTCCTGCTGCCCTGTCTTTGCATAGAGGTGAGAGGTTGTGTTGCTGAGACTTTGATAGGGGAATATGTGTATTTTTAATTCTCCATAGTACCCAGTGGACTAGTGACTGTTCCTGGCCCTCATCCTCCCTAAGAAGTGAGGAGACTCACTTCTTACCTATCCAATGGGATGTCAAGGGAGGGTCTGGGATGGCCAGTCTAAGAAGAGAAGCTAACGCATATTGCATCTTAAGTTTTCCAGATTGTTCTGTGTGTACTTTCTCCTTTGATCCTTATAACCCAGTGTAGTAGGTTCTATTATTACCCCCAATTTACAGATGAAGAAACAGAGGCTTTAAGAGGTTGTGACTTGCCTAGGGTCACCCAGCTAGTGTCTGAGGCGGGACCTGAACTCCAGCATTCTTGACTCCAGCATTTTATTCATTATACAATTTTGTCTCTTGCCCCCAATCTAGGACTGATCTGGGTGCCAGTTTTGCTTCAGAATGCTGAGTCAGTCAATAGTCAACAATCATTTATTAAGTTGTCCTAGGAGTTCAGAACTGAAATTAACTTTGTCTCCACTGGGGTCATTTGAAGGGATGATCCTGACCTCAAGTGACCATTCACCTCCTCCCAACTTCACATGGATTAGTTGATAAAATGAGATGGAAAAGGAGAAAACAAGATCCTGAAGCTATGAAACATAGCAGGGTGGGGCAGGGCACAGTATGACCGATGGTTGATGGGTAAATAAACTGAATGCAAAGGGAGAGTACCAGGATTTGGGGGGGGGGGCTGCAGGTTCTGCTGAGCAAAACATTAGGGGGCTCTGAGTAGCCTAGGTGAAGGAGGTGGGGGCCACATGAAGACAATGAATGCCTCAGGAGGTACTGCTGAAATGAGGCTGGGAGTGGGGAGATGGAGCCCAAAGGGTTCCCAGATGTGACATAGTTCTTGGTGGAAAAGAGGAAATTAAATGTCAGCTATTATCATTATTCCTATTTTATTTGGCTTCCCACCTACTGATTTTTCCTCTCCTTCAAGGAGTTGAATTCTCTCAATTTGTGTGGGTCCCCTTCTTGGATGCTGAGTGCATACTCTAGTTCTTTATCTCTGGCCCCAGAGAATTGGATTCTAACAGGGCTAGATCAAAGTGGGTTTGGGGTCTAGGTGGTATAAAAAAAGTCTGCCCTTCTGAGCATCCAACCCCACCCCCCTTCATTCCATCAGGCAGCATACCTGCACCAGGACAGTGTGCGGAGGAAGCGGTGCCCCTTGAAGGACCAACCTGAAGTCTGTGAGTAGCCCACACAAACCTCATCCCAATCCTTCACTCTAAGGATAAACTCCTCCAAATGCCATTATCACTGGGACTTGGGGTTTGGGGTGGGTGGGGAGAGCTGCCCTATTTTTGCACTTCGGGAACAAGAGATAAGATGGCAGTGGCACCTGTCTCTCGACACTCTGATAAGTAAGTCAATAAACATCGCTCGCTTGGTGAGCATGCTTGTTTCTCCCTCCTTGTAGCCTGGATGGGGAGACTGGCTATACAATGCCATCTACTCCTTAAGTACTTGTTCAGTGAGTATTATGGAATGGCATACAGCACAAGATAGTGAATAAGGAAGAGACCAGTTGTATGGTACACATTGTAAATGCTCTAAGATTTCAAAGAAGGAGGAAAACCAGGTGGGCTGGAGCCATCCAGGACTGCTTTGTGGGAGCAGAGGGATTTGAGCTGGGCTTTGAAGCCTGGATTGTTAGTAGGGAGAGGACAGCATTGCTAAAATCAGAGAGCTGGGAACATGGTCTGTGGGTGACAGTGGGGGAGGGAGGAGACAAGGAGCAGTCTGGAGTGTGTGGAGCAGAGGATGCACGTTGCAGAGTCATGAGCTCGAGAGTTGGGTCAGATATGAAGGACATTGGGATGGCCTGACCTGCCTTGTCCATCACATTAGCACCACAACAGAGAAACTATCTGGGACGGGGGCAAGAAGATCGAGCAAGCACCCGACCAGGAGACCTTTTGCCCACAGACAGCATGGACTTCTGGAGGTCAGTGCAGTTCACTGACCACAGCGACCAGGACCAGATGGCCATGATCCTAACCCTACGCTGCCCAGTGAAGCTCAAGGCCTCCCTGTGCCAGAAACAGAGCTGGCACAGTCCCTGTGAAGACCTTCCCAATGCCACAGTCTCTGCATCAGAGGGGGTAAGGAGGAGGTGGAGAGAGAGAAAGGTGGGGAGGGGAAGATGGAGAGAGACAGAGGGAGACATTGGGGGGGGTAAAGGGAGAGAGGAGAGAGGGAGGGAGAGGGGAAGGGAGAAAAGGAGAGAGAGCAGATTTTTTTTTCATCTCTAGCATTAAGGGAACTTTCAACATATACTGCAGCCCCACAGCATGAGATGAAGAGCATCTCGTGACCCTGGGTGAGTTGGGGCTGATAACTTCTCCCATCTGACTCCCTTCTTTCCCAACAGTGGTATGTTTTGGAGAAGGTGGATTTGCACCCACATCTTTGCTTCAAGGTATGACTCTAGCAGCAGAACTTTCTGGGAAGAAGGAGAGTTGATGCTTTGGTAAAACAGAGGATGGGAAGGTCATATGAAAGGGGAAATATGTCTTTCTCCCCCTTCTACCTCCATCCTGGTGACTTTCTTCTCCTCTCTTCCCTAGTTCTCTCTTGGGAATAGTACCCACGTTGAATGTCCCCATAGGAATGGTGAGCGTGTGATCCTCCCTCATCTCCACCCCACCCCCATTTAACCTTCACTCAGCTGTGACTGTACCAATCCTCTAGCTACACCTTTGCTTCTCACCCCCAACTCCATCTTCACTACTTGTGTAAAACTCACTCTGTGTAACTGTAACTCACCCCTTTTCAGCCTCCTCCTGGAACGTGAGCATGGATATCCAGTACCAACAACTGGTCCTGCGCTTCTCCTCAAGGACCCCAGCTGCTTTCAGTGCTGCGTGGTGCCTTCCGGGGCTGGAACATTCCGATCCCCAGCTGCCTGTTTACTGTGTCAGCCAGGTACAATTCCTGCAGTCTACACCATCTCTGCCATCTCCTGCAGGAGCCAGAATCTTTGTTTCTTCCTACTGTCCCAGGTTCCAGCATTCCCTTCACCTCCTGAGAACTAGCCATGAGCATAAGGGGTGTGGGGGGGGGGGTGGGGGGTGTTAGTATTAGGGAGAAAGCAAGAAGCTCTTCACTGCAGTACTTTGTTTACCTCTATAGTTTGTCCCGTTATCCTTCTGCCCTTTATCAAGAGAAGGCTTAGAAGGAGATGTGGCTGTCAAGTATTTGAAGGGCTATTATGTGGAAGAGGGAAGAGTCTTGTTCTGTCTGGCCCCGGGGAGAGCAGAACCAGCAGCCCTGAGGAAAGGCTATAGAAAGGCTGCTTTTGTCTCAATGTAAGGAAAAACTTCCCAAATAATCAGAGCAAGTCAAAAGTGGAAGGTGGTGACCTCCCTGTCCCTTAAGGTTTTCAAGCAAAGACTGAATGGCCTTTGTTAGAGATGCTAGGGAAACTATTCTTGTTTGGTGCGGGGCTGGACCAGATGCCTTTTGAGGTTTCTTATCTAAGTCTCAGAGCAGGGGTTCTTAATCCAGGAGCCATGAACTTAAATTTTTTAAAAATTTTGATAACCATATTTCAATATAATTTATTGCCTTTGAAAATCTGTGTGTTTTATTTTATGCATCTAAAAATATTACTCTGAAAAGGATGTCCGTAGGCTTCACCAGACACCTAAGGGGTCCATGGCACCATAAGAGTTAAGAATCTCTGTCTTAGACTCGAACTTCTGTTAGTGTGTCTAGAACAGTATTTCCTCACTTTTCAGTTCCTGACACATCTGTGAACTTACTAGGCTGTGGCAACTGGTCTAGCCAACTGTTCATCTGTACCCCATTTTGTATTTGCACGAACATACACACACACGTCCTCTCTGCTCTACACCATGGCCACAGTCACCTCCATCTTTCATCCCAATCCCGTCAACATAACCCAGGTATTATAACCCAGTGGAACAGCTTTAGGATGTATCAAGCTGGGAGAATAGTGTCTTAGAAGTCTCACCTCTGCCCTCTGAAGACTGTCACACAAAATCCTCAGCAAAGAGCTGAATCTGATCCATACATTTGAACAGATCTTTTTTTTTTTAAACTATGTTTGATTTTTACGGTTATTTTTACAGTTGTTTCATTTTATTACCTCTCTAGGGTGAACTCTCCCTTGTAACAAAGAGAAACAATTAAGCAAAAATATGTCTTAGATGACATGGTGTATTCTGTTTTAGTAGTATTCTAATACTCTGCTGAGTCAAGGGAGGTGTATTTTGTTATCTGTTCATCAGGACCTTTTTTTTTTTTTCTGTCACTCAGAGTTGACTTTCTTTTAGTAATCTTTTTATTTTACATTGTAGTCATTATGCCTATTTCTCTTGGGCCTACCTATTTCACAGTGCATCAGTTCATAAAAATCTTTCCATGTTTCTCTGAATTCCCTCATATTCATCATTTCTTACTGTACAATAATACATCATTATATTAATATACCATTGGGTTGTTTTTGTTTTTTTAGCTTTTCCCCTATTGAGTTCTTACTTTGTCTCCATTTCTTTGTCTCTAGCACAAAGAGTGCTATTATAAATATTTTGATATATATTGACTTCCTTTAGGTATATGCCCAGTAGCAGGATTGCTGGGTCAAAGGTATGGACAGTATAGTCATTTTCTCGAATAATTCCAAATTGTTTTTAAGAATAGTTGAACCACTGACATCTACCAGCAGTGAGTGAATCAGTGTGCCAGTCTTCCCACAGAACATTGGGGTTGGACCAGGTACCTTTTGGGGTTGCTTACCTAAGTTTTAGAACAGGAGTTCTTGACCTGGGAGCTGTGGACTTGGTTTTTAAAATTATTATTTTGATAAGTGTATTTCAATATGATTTATTACCTTTGCAAACCTATGTATTTTATTTTATGTATCTAAAGACATTGTTCTGAGAAAGGGGTCCCTAGATTTCTGTAGGTCCACCCCCTATGGAACATTTACTACTCCCATCTTTTATCCTCTTTACCAATTTGTATGGCATAAGAGGAGGGTGGGGAACCTGAGGCCTTGAGGCCATACATGGCCTTCTAGATTGTTAAGCATGACCTTTTGACTAAATCCAAATTCAGTCAAACCTAGAAAGCCACGTATAGCCTCAGGGCTGCAAATTTGGCACCCTGGGTATAAGATAACAATAATAATGGGGCCTTGAGGTTTGCAAAATACTTTACTGATGTTATCTCATTTGACCTCACAATAACCCTGTGAGGTAGATGTTATTATTTTCCCCATTTTACAGATGAGGAAACATAAGAAAAGAGAGGTTAAATGTATTGCCCAGGGTAACATAGTAAATGTCTTCCTGACACTTAGTAGACACACATAGTCAGGTCTTCCTGACTGCAAGTCTTGTGCTCCTGGCTGCTTAAGTGATGAAACCAGAGTAGTTTTCATTTGATTTCTTGTACTATTGGCAATTTGGAGGTGTGTTTTTAATATGGTCATTTGTAATTGTCAATTCTTTTGGAAACCCTTTAGTACTATCCTTTGTTCAGTAATCTGTTGAGGGATGGATTTTGGCATTCTACATTTGTGTCAATTACTATATATGTCTATATATTTTAGAATCAGTATACTATATATATATATATATACACTAAATCAGTATATTATAGTCAAATATATAATCAATATACTACATATATGTATATACATATAGTCTATATATTTTAGGTAGAATCAATCGGTGAAGAAGACTTTTCCTGGTACTATTTGTTGCAATTGTCCCACCCCCTATCTCCCACCCCACCCCCCATTTCTTTTCTAGTTTCTTTTCATATCCAACCTCCTCATTTTCTAGCTGAGAAAACTCAGGTCTAGAGAGATAAAGGGATTTGCCTAAGATCACATAGTAAGTAGCACCCCTAGGATTTCCATACAGGTGCTCTGACTTCAGACTCACTACTTTCCATGACACCATCCTGCCAATGCTATGTGAAGTCAGAGAATGCAAGTTGCAGTAATTAGGGACTGCTTCATGGAGAAGGCATTACTGGACTCCATCCCCTCAAGGATGAGGAGGATAGGCAGAAAGGAGACAGGAAGAATTCCTGATCGTAAAAGCATAGAATCATAGATTTAGAGCTGAAAGGAACCTTAGAGGCCATTCTTCATTTTACAGATGAGGAAAGTGAGGCAAACAGAGGTTAACTGACTTGCCCAGGGTCCCACAGCTAGTAAGTGTCTGAGGCAGGATTTGAACTCAGTTCTTCTTGACTCTAAATGTTCTCTATCCACTGTCAAAGAGGGGAGGAACATGGCAAAAATTATAGAACCCTTTACACATTTGCATGTATGGGGATGACCATTGTATCCTTTGTTCTCATAGCCTAATGGTTCCGGCCCAGTGAAGTCAGATCTCATCATCCCCTTACAGAGCTTCGGGGGCTGTGTTCTGGTAATGAACCTTTCTCATATCCACCCCTCTCCTCCCTACCCTACCTTCATTCTCATTGTGGACCCTTTACTGGGCAGGTTTGGAGGTCAGATGTCCAGTATTCCCAGAAGCGCCTTTTGTGTCCCGATGGTAAGTCTCAGGGTCAGAGATGGCAAAGGGGATGAGGTAGGGGAGCCCTATCCTGTCCTCACCTTTGCCTGGTTCAGTCTCTCACAGGCACTTGGGGCTTCTGGCCCTGGGGCTGTTGATGGGGGCTGCCCTGCTGGTGACCATCCTGGCTTTGAACTACCAGGGCTTACAGAAGCTACTGACAGGTGAGATGGCCAGGACAGTGCCATATACAGGAGGTATATGAAGAGGGAAAGGGATTTAGGGATATAGACCTTCCTGTATCAGGGATCCCTTTGGGAACAGATCTGTCTCCCCACCTGCCCCACCAAGCCCTTCCCCATCCCACTGCTAAAGCTACCTGTGCCCTGCCTCTCCTCTCCCTATGCATTCTCAGCTCTGGGCAGACTCTGCCCTACCTCAGGCCTGAGTTAGGGTGTGGAAAGAAAGGGCGGGATGGAGCGCCCCCTCTTCAAGTCTTCTCCTTCATTCTGCTCCTGTCTTCGTCTCTGCTCTCTCTACAGGCCCTGGTCGACCCAGGCCCGTGCTGCTGCTCTACTCTGCGGACTCGGAGGCGCACCGCCGTCTAGTGGGCGCCCTGGCCGAGTTGTTGAGGGTGGCCCTGGGAGGCGGCGGCGATGTCATCCTGGACCTGTGGGAGGGGGAGCGTGTAGCCCGCTTGGGGCCGCTGCCTTGGCTGTGCGGGGTTCAGGCCCGCGTGGCACAGGAGCGGGGCACCGTGTTGCTCCTCTGGAGTCGGACCAGCAGCCAACTCTACCGCCGCTGGCGGGCCGGGGCCGGGCCCAGATGCGACCAGGACCCCCAGGACTTATTCCGAGCAGCCCTAAGCTGCTACCTCCATCCTGGCCCAGGAACTGCTGGAGGGGCTCGACCTCCCCTGCTGGCCTTCTTTAGTAAGCTCTGTGCCAAGGGGGACATTCCCCGGTCGCTGCGCACTCTCCCTCGTTTCCGCTTGCTCGGAGACCTGCCTCAGCTGCTCAGGGCCCTGGGCGCCGAGGACGCTCGCAGAGCCCCGCGGTGGCTTGGACTCTGGCCAAGGCCCCGGCCCCCGCCCTCAGAGCGCGCAGATTGGCGGTGCTATTTGCGGAACCGTCTGGAGCTGTGCCAAAGACTGGAGCGGGAGGCAGCCCAGGTTGAACTGCTCAGCTCGGACAGGGGCTGAGTTGGAAGGGAGTAAGAGAGAGGAGCCTTTGTTCCTCGCTCCTAGGGGGACTGTGGCGCCCAGCATTAAGTGAAGAGAAGCGAGCTAAGGGGAGGCCAAAACGGTTTCCGCCTCATAACCTAGCTAGAGCCTTCTCCCTCTCAGAAGTAGGCCTTCCAGCGGAGTGTGTGCATGGGAGTGGGGAGGAGAGAAGTCTTGGAGGGCGCATAGAGAGCTCAAAGCATCTGGCCCCTCTCCCAGCAAAAGGATTTGGTATCCTTCCATCTTCTGCGAGGGGCTGCCTCACTGCCTCCCTCAAACCAGACCTCTGCTGTCGCCAGGTCCTTTCTCACTCCTTGCATATGAATTCTCACTTCTATTAAAGTGTCTTGATCAGAGTTCAGAGGTAGTCTTTAGGATTCCTCGTGTTTCCTCCCTCCTCCCCCCACCCCAGTCTCCCGGTGGGATAACAGTGAAGAGACCTTTGCTCCAAGCAAGAGAACTGAAACCTAGGATGGAGGAGGGAAGCTGGGATAGGAAGCAAAGGAAGGGGTGATAGAAACAGTTGCGCCTTACTGATCAGATGTAAATACAAGAGAGAATGTGTGAGCCCAGAGTTCCTGCCCCCATCCCTTTTCTAGGTATAGGTGATCTAAGACCTTTGCCTGTGGTTCTGCTAGCCTCCTTCCTCTGCCCCCATCATCTCCAAGATCTAGGGGGGACTCCAGAGGAAGGGATTGAGTAATGAACTTTGCTGAAGCCAGCAGAGCAAAAGAAACTGTTCCAGGCTACTTTATATGGCTTGGGATGCGATGGGCTACACAAAGCAAACGTGATGAATAAAGATCACTGAAAATATGAGCATGTGAACTTTGATTAGTTAATTACAAAGTATAAATTTTGATTAGTTAGTTATAAAGACAATGTTCTGGGAGAAAAGAGAATGAAACACACCTTCTTCCTTTTAGAAAGGTGGGGGGAGGGGAGTTACTGTTATGTCTGTTCATTTTACTTGACTTTTTTTTGTTAAAATCAAGAGTTCAACTGGTGTGTGGAGTATGTTGGAAAATAATAAAAAAAAATTCATTGGGGAGGGAGAAAATTTGAAACTGAAAATAAACATTTTATAGAAAATGTAATATATGATAGTAAAATATTTTAAAATATACTGCTAATATATTTTAAATAACAATCTGTATATTACAGATTCACAGTTTTACATGTTCTAATTTTCTGGCCTTTGTATACAGAAGTGTTGGTGTTCATTGCTACTTTTTTTAGTTCATAATACAAAAAAATTATTTAATGTTTTTTTAAGAAAAGGCATTGCAGGCAATAAAGTGAGGGGTTGATCATCAAAAAAAGGCATCAGTAAAGTTTTTTAAAAGACCAGCATGAAGGAACCCAATCACAAGAATAGGTAGGTGGGAGTCAGATATAAGAAGAAACATAGCAACTAAACTTGACCTTAGAAGAGGAGTTACTATGGACTCCACTGGCCTAGACAAAGATCTCTACTGAAGCAGCTGAGGGGGTACCTCTTCTTGGTGGGTTTCATTAATCTGGCATGTTATAGTAAGGATTCCTTTTGTGTACAGAATGGACTGGATAGCTGCTAAGGTCCTTTCTAACTCTCAGATTATGTTATGTTATGAGATCATACATATTTACCAAGCAAGGTTCAGTGTCCTAGGCTTGGTGGAGGAACACGACCCCTTGAATCATGACTGCAGCCCTCCCTTTTGTGTGGTGAGCAAAGAACCTAAAGGGGCAGTTGTCCTCTTAGGGTGACCATGGCCCAGAAGGTATTAATTAACAGGGCCATGGACTCTGAATACCATCGGGGCCCTAGGGCCTATACTGGTGCCAGACTGGGAAGACACGAAGAGGGCAGGGCTTTAAGATCCAGGAGAAATGGAATTGGGCGTTACCTTAACATCAGCAGCAGGAAGATGAATGTCATACTTTATGACATGGAATAATTCCATACCAGCAAGTCCCCAGAGAAGGGTCTCTGGGACTGCCCTCTCCCATCTTCCCGTAGGACTCCCCAGGTGGTAGGTAGCCTCGTTCAATATTGCCCTTGGTTATTGGCCACTCTCTAGCTGGGGTGTGTGTGTGTGTGTGTGTGTGTGTGTGTGTGTGTGTGTGTGTG